ATGAAGAAAATCTGGATGAATCAACCATTGACAATCTAAGCAAAATCCTACAAGTCTTTGTGTTGGAATATCTTCACTTGTAATCCTGATTTAGTTTATAGAAATTGCTTCTAGAATTGAATTCAAAAGTCAAGGCATTATTTAAAATAACCTGATTTCAGGCAAATGCTGTGGGGAAACTTCTATCCTAGATTGTCTTATTAGGTGTTTTTGGGTTATCAGATGAATTATAGAATAATTATACTGTGATATTGCATCCTAAATTGCTCATTAATTTTTATTTACAGATTGAAAATGATGGAATGTGTAAGGAAAATGGAAAATAAATATCTTTCAAAAATTCTTTCAGATAAACACTATGAAGCAAAATCAGGTTCATTTATTCAATATCATAGTTTTTTAAACAATACTTAAATGGTGGTTGCAAACTATAGCCTTCACTTTATGATTTTTCCTGTGTGGGAATCTATTACATGTAATACAAAACAAAGATGTAGTTTGAAGGCTCTCAGATTTCTTTGAGAAACCTTTGTAGGGTTAATCTTATGGAAATTAAAATCAGAATTAAATGCAAAAAAAAATCCTTTTTAAATTTTTTTTTTTATTTATACAAAATTTATTACTATATTTTATTCAGGATGAGGCCATCAAGAAGTCAACAACACAATAAGCACACACACATGGAAAGGGCCAAGCTGCTGAATGTTACCAGCCTGCGGGGGGTGGGGGGCGCTGAGGCAGGAGGCAGGGAAGCAACTAGGCATAGAGGTCCTCCCAGTCTGTGGAGTACACCTCCCCCTCCTGCAGGAGGGCAAAGTTGAGGAAGTGGGAGGGCCTGTGCACCTCGTGGTAGAACTCTTTGGGGTTCGCCAGCTGCAGCTCGTACTTCATGTTGGGGTCATGCCGAACGCCCATGAAGTTGTAGTTCCATGAGGACTGGGCAGGGACCATGAAGAAGCCAAGGAAACAGTCGGACAGCAGCATCTGGACCCGCTCATAATGTGAAGGCAGGTAACCCTTGGGGCTGTTGCCCTTGTCTGTGTTCTGGCAGCCCCATTCATAGCCACCGGGGGTCAGCTTGTAGGCCGTCAGTGTACAGGAGCCTGGAGTGAAGCTGCACGTGATGATAATGGTCTTCTCGCCATCCCAAGATGGGTTGTCAGCCATGATCTTGGTGTGGGTGGTGACATCCTGGGGTGACAACTGTAGGGATTCTTTGGGCTGAGTGTGGATCCAGCCTAAGGGTTCCATCTCCTTGAGGTACTCGTGCTGGGGCAGCTGGCCAGGCAGGTGCACAGTCTGATGGGTGCCCCACTGCCGCACCATCACGATGCAGCTGATCTCCTTCTCCTGCAGGTTATCTGGTGGGCTCACCCCATACAGGTACCCTGCGATTTGGGCCCAAAGATCAGATATGCAGATGAACTTCTAAAGCACATTCTTGGGAAGGATGTAGGTGTAGCCCGTCTCCTTGATGTCAACAGATGAAACATAGATGTGATTGGTCCTTAGGTGCAGGTTGGCAGCAGAGATGGCCCTGACCCTCCACTCAGTCTTGGATGAGAAAGTCTGGGTCTCGTAGTTGCTGGTGGTGGAGGTGATGATCTCATCGCCATGCTTGTTGACAGTGCGAGTCTGGGTGGCAGTCAGCTGCGACTGTTCCTTGGTCTGCTTCTCA